GACAAAAAATAAAAAGTTTAAAAAAAAATAAAAACTGGCCAAACCGTTGAACTGTTCGAACAGTTCAACTGCCCAAGTCAGCAGTTTGCTGACCAAATCAATGGTTTTGGGGGAAATAATGGTTATGGGGTAAAACCAAAGCAGTCACCTAATCAATTCCCGGTTTTTTCGGTCCGACTATTTGCTCCAGTTTTGAAAACCATAGTTTAACCTCAACCTATTATATTATTTGATTTATATTTTTATTATTCTCTCTCTTTCTCTTTTAAATGTAATAATAACATGCATTAAAATAAGAAGCCTTGGAAAACCCAAAGGTCTCTCTCTCTTAAATGTCTTTTTTAAATGCAATAATAACATGCATTAAAATAAGAGGCCTTGGAAAACCCAAAGGTCTCTCTTTAATAGCGTGCAGCTTTATTAATCTAATCAAGGTAATAAATTATTACTGTTTATATTTTTGAAACAAAAGAAAATAAGAAAAATGCAAAAAATGGAGAAAATAGATAAATAACTTCTCTCAAAGGAGAAACATGCTGACATGAACAGACCAATTTTAATATATATATATATATATATAGAGAGAGAGAGAGAGAGAGAGAGAGAGAGAGAGAGATTTCGTCCTTAGGGTCACATGCCCTTAGGAGAGAGAACATGACAGTTAGGACTGAGAATATCCCAACTCTTTCACTACCATACATGTTGCTTGCCTCTTGGTTTCTATAAAGAGGCAAGCAAATGAGACATGGGAGACATTCATTCAAACACTCATTTGTTCATCCCTTGTTCACTCACTCTCCCAATCTCAAACTTAGCCATTTCCTAAAGTTTTCACCAACTTACTCTCTTCACCCCAAGACATTTTTTAATCCACTTTCAAGACTTCGAGACTATCCTTGTTCGACTACACTGGGTCAAGACAAGTTGAAAACACTACTAAGAATTGGTAACATTGAAGATTATCTATTTGGAGCTAAGAAAACTTTCTTGTCAATTAGATGGTTTCTTTTGTATTAAATTATTAGTAATTAATGAATTCAATCATAAAGAGATGGCTAGTTGGCCATATGGGTACCAACCTAGAAACATGAAGTTAATCCATGTAAATATATGAGACCTTGATACTGTTTAATTGAATTTTGAATTCATGAGCCTAGTGGGGTTAGTTCCTAGTAGTAACATGTATGTCCTTTAATGGGATTTGCTAATCTTATTCAAATTTTTCTGTGTACCTATTGTTAGACAGTTTTGTATGCCCTTAGCTCCAATCAGCTTGATGTACTTAAGACATTTATTGTAAATGAATAAAGTGCATATTTGATTCATGTCATGTGGTGTGTTTCTATGTAATACCCTTAAAACCGGACACTTATGAGACTTGTGTTGGTTTAGAATGTTCACAGCCAGTGGGTCGGTCTAGGGAGACCTATCCTGATAAGGCTAACACTAATGTATCGCCAAGTCGGTTGGGGTGACCAGTCTCTGCCACCAGGGTGAGACCCGAGGTACATGCAATGTGGGATCACCTTGAGACCTTGAACTAGACCAGAATTCCAGTATTGCCCTGGACCTTGGCGATTAATGGGCAAAATTGGAATGTTACACCTGACCCCTAGACTCGATTATGATACCGCACTAGGTGGCGGATTGGGCCATCTTTGATATGCCAATCAGTGAGACCCTTAGAAGGGGTCAAAACCTGGGTATGTTGAGATGGTTCATGAACCCATCTGAGTGGGTGATCATAGTGACAGGATCAGCCCCTTTGTCGGACAAAGGTAATGATCGGGGAAATGCATTCTCTCTAATGAAAACCAAAATTGCCGGCAGTTGATTTCAATTGTTGAAATTTTGTTTTGCAAAATATATTATAGGTTTCCAAAATTGTTTGCAAAAGGTTTAAATCCCCGAGATCCATGTAAGAGGAGAGTGCAGCACTGTACCTTGTAGTCGGGGGAGAGGTCCTCCCTTGTCGGGTAGTGTTTGATCATTATGGGCTGAGAGGCTAAGTGTAAGACCACTGAGGGTTAAACCTGATGGGCTAATCTTGCATCTACCCATAGTCCTTGGGTGTTACAAGGTGGCTTAGCCCAAGGACTACTTAGTGTAAGTGTTGAGCCCATAGAGTCCATATGATGGACTCAAGGGGTTCACTGGGCTTTCCAGTAAATTCGGCTAGGCCTTGTGACAAAGGCTGGGCCGAACCCTTGTGGCTGATGTGTAGATCAACGTTTGAGTCCCACGCCATACAAAGAAAGCCCAACTAGGTAGCAATTTGGAAAGCTTAAGTGAGTACATACATTTAATGGGCCGAAAGCCCAATACGAGCTGGGCTAATTAGATTAGCTTGAATGGGGCGGATCTGAGATGTGGACCAGCCTTAAAGGATAAGGGAAAGCCCCTATCCACTTAATAAGAATCCAGATTTGAATATGATTCAAAACTGAAAACTCCTAATCAGATTAGGAGGGCTGATCATGATCTGTAGATTAGATAAGGACTCTACCTTATCACTTAAGGGGATTAACATCTCCTAATGGGATTAGGAGCTGATCCCTTTAGGGTTATAAAAGGAGGAGGGGGCGGCTGCCTCAAAACACACTCATCTGAGATACAGATACAACACAGAAGAGAGAAATCAGCATACATTAAGATTGTGCCAATTTCTCTCTGCCACCTCCTTCCTATCACCGCCGCCGCCATTAGCAGTTCGTCTCCACTCACGTGGGAGTTATCAAGAAGCGTTCTTGGTTTCAGTTCTTTGTGAAATAATTGAAAAGAAGTTGTACTCACCTATCGTCCAGTGGGTTCTTGCGAAGGATCCAGTTCTTATGAAGAACGTTGCTGATTCTGCTCCATCTTACACTGTGCCATATTCAGTGGGAGCAGTCTTTGGTGACTTTTCTGGGCGTGAACACCTTCGTTGGGAGATACTAATTCTCCGTATAAGGTATTTCCCTCTCCTACTGTTTTGTTCAGATCTGGTTCGGTTCTTGATTCAAGATTGATCCTTGAAAATTAGTTTTCTAAAATAGGGAATGTGATTCCCAATTGTAGGAAGGAAAAAAATTTTTGAAATTCGCCCATTCTATTTCGCTTTATCCGGGCGTCCATACGATGGATCTTTCCATTCCTTCACCTATAACCTTCTTAATTTATTAGTAAGTGTGTACATGCTTTGCATATGATAATTTTTTATGATGATAATGATGATGATGATGATAATGATGATGAAATTAAATAACATGTTTCCAAAATTACTACATTGTTTTTTATATTTCTATGTCTATAAAAAATTATTCTTATTTATCACACTTATTTTTGCTTAATATGATAAATATATATACAATATTAGAGATGCACCCAAATGTGTTTGCTACAAATTTTTTGGATTCTTAGTACTTTTGTGTGTCATATTTTTTTTATTTTTATTATTATTTAATTATGATATCAAGGATTTACACATTTGACCCAAAAGGTTGAATTGTTAACTCGCCACAAAATAGGAAAACAATTTCATTTTTTAGTTGTTTTTAAATTTTTATTTTATTTCTATCATCAATAAAAATAGGAGTTAATACCCTAAACATAAAACTTAATGAGAGTGAATTGAATAAGAAAAAATGTAATAGCTCAAATTACATTTTGTGCCCTCACAATTAGAAAGAGACCAAATTCTTAAATAGGGGTATTCTATTCAAGAATATGATTCAATGATTGTTAATGGGAGTTAATACCTTAAATATAAGACTTAAATGAGAGGGATTTGAATGAGGACAAATGTGGTTGTTAAAATTGCATTTTTATCCTTACAATGAAAGTGACCAGATTCAAAAATTAGGGTATTTTAATCAAATAAAAGTTTCACACTCCCATTAATCCTTTTAATATTAGTATAGATATAGATACAGATTGTAAGTATAAAACATGGATACAATGATATCTATATAAAAATGATAGAAACTTGAAAATCATTTTTAAATCTCACCTTGAATAATCTTCTCCAAGAAGTGATCAACCTTCCTTTCTACTTGTACCTAAAACAAAAAAAAAAAAAGAAAAAAAAAACATTAAGGTTTTTTTTATTTGTTTTCCATGAAAATAACAATGGAAAAACGAAAACCAATAAAAAAGGGAGTTGTTGGTGATTAATTGTAGTGGCAATTCTTCTCCTTTCAATCGAGCCAAATGGAAAACAAATTTGAGGTGAAGGGGAGTCCGTTCACCTTCAGGGGTCCGGTTCCTAGGTCGAATGGTCCAACCATTTGAACCGAATGGATAGTCCGCTCTGACAAAAATAATAAAAATAATAAAAAAACAGCTAAAACTGCTGAACAGTTTGAACGGTTCGATTGCTCGAGTCAGCGGTTTATTGATCAAATCAACGTTTTTAGGCAAATTAACGATTTTGGGGTAAAATGGAACCGGTCACCTAACTGGTTCCCGATTTTTCTGGTCTGACCATCCGGTCTGGTCCAATTTTCAAAACCATGGTCTGGCTACTACATGAAAAACCATACTAAAAATCACTTTACCAAACAGAAAAATCTGAAAATCAATTGTTCAGAGCCAGGGGAGCCCCCCCCCCCCTATGGTTCAGAAACTCTCCACCGAAAAACAGCTTTCCATGTAAATTTTCTCCTCCCCACTCTCCATCTCAATGGTTGGCCCCCTTATGGGCCCATCCATACTTCATTCATATTTTGGCCCCCCTTATAACAATTTCCTGGCTTTGCTCATAGCCTATTTGGCTGTTGACGTTTTTCTTTCAAAAGTCGGACCCAAAAAACACCCATGCCACCAAACATCATCTTTGGTTGAGTGAAGAAAATGACGGTTAAGGTTTCGGCAACGGAACCAAATACCTCCTATATCGGTTTGGAACAGAAAAATCCGATTCCGATGGCCCGATCCATTTTCACACCTCCAATCATGCTGATGTGTACTTCCTCCGACGACGCTCATACCTGCATTATCCATGTCAATCTCAACATACAAAAGCGAAAAAGAAAAGCTAATAAAAAGGGGGGAAAAGCTCACTGCCGGCAGAGAGTATCTGCATTCTCCACTGGTCAGAATTTTAGTAGTTAGAATCAGGCGTTGCTTCTTACGGGGCAGAAATGGCAGTTTCATCGCTCCCGCTGAGCTGGGCTTCTACCCTCCATAACCAGGTTTTTGTTCTGTTTTCATTTCGGACTATGTTCTTTCAGAAACTTCTTTCTCAGAACAATCATCAGTCATCAAACGAACGTCTCGTTCTTCCAGTTAACAGTGCCGAATTCGACCGCTGTACCTCGCTCCACTGCGTTTTCTCAACCCAATATTATTGCATACTCAAGAGACACGACCTTTAATGAAGAAAGTAAGACACCCATCTATCAAATTCCATTGGATGTTTGTTTTATCAAGTATACGAGTTTCTGTTAATTTTGGAATTCAGATGTTTTTGATTCTCCTTTCCTAGTGTTGTGGGAAAATCCCTCTTAACACGACTTACCCAACTGCTTTTTCGATTTTGCATGTGCAGTGCTCTCTGTTTTGATAAATGTTAAGCTTCCATTTCTTTCAATTTCGGGCTTTAGATGCTTTAGGTTTATAATTGTCTTGTCTGTAAGAGCAGAAAACGGTATCTATGAAATATTTGCATGTTTGGGCATGTACTCTAATTTGTAAGTTTCAAATTTAGTGATTGTAGCCTTCTGATTTGAACTGAGTTGGTTTTTCTTGATATCATAAAGTAAAAAGGTACCCCTTTTAAGATCTGGCTGAAATCTTCATCGATTGATTACCCTGTTGTGCGCTTTCTGACTGATCCTACATGTGACGGTTTTCAGGCTGTTTGAAGAAGAGGTCGATATTGCTGGGATTAGGGGCATTGGCAACAAGTTTAATCCCTGCAAATTTTGTTTTTGCGGATGGTATTTTGATGAACAATGAAAATTAAGTTTCTATTTTATAATCAAGACCACAATTTATTTGTTTCCGTAGAAAACTTATCCCATTTATGTTCTACATTGTGGGAAAATATTCATCTATTTTTTTAACTTCTTTACATTCTACATGTGTGTGCAGAAGTTCCGGAAAACTACCAATCTTTTATTGATCTTTCAGATGGTTATTCTTATTATTACCCTTCAGATTGGAGAGTAGGTCGCTCTATTGGTTTTGCTGTGATCGTGTTTGATTTCTCAAACAGATATCCAATTTTCTGTTTGGAGATAGAAATTAAAGGAATTTCTGTTTTCTCTTCTTAGGACTTTGATTTTAGAGGGCATGATTCAGCATTTAAGGATCGTTATCTGCAACTGCAAAATGTAAGACTGAGTTTTATACCAACTGATAAAAGGGATATCCATGATTTGGGTCCGATGGAGGAGGTGAATTATATCGACTTTGTTATGTCTTCTGTTTTTTTTCTTTTTTCCATAATTCTCTTCTGTTTCCTCATCAATTTCTGTCTATTTAGCAGGTTATTTCCAATTTGGTGAGACATGTTTATGCTGCACCATCTCAAAGGGCTACTATTTTTGACATGAAAGAGGTTTGTATACTTTTAACAGTCTTAACATCCATTTTTTTCTACATATTATGTTCAAGAAAGACAAAAATATCCCATAAGTTGGTGGGTATTTGAGATACTGCTCTCTACTTTGACTTTTAATTTTTTTATTACTCATGGGATTTCTATATCTCAGACTTAGTGGGTTCACTTTATGCCAAATCATTTTTTGATCAATAACAGAAATTTTCATTAAAATATATGAATCAAGTTCAAGAGTTTGAACACAGTCAGGATCCTTTGTTTTGTAAAAGCACCATTTTTAGTTGAAGCCTTATGTTAGATGGTGCTAATTTACTTCCACCAACTGGCCAATTTCTGGGACTTAGAACTTTATATTGGGAATGTGATTTGATTCTAAGGAAATGAACTGAGCATTCTTTAGATTCTACATCCAGAGCCTAGGTTATCTTGCTTTGTGGATCAACACATATTCGTTCATGAGAAAGATCCTTGAAGTCTTTCAATTGCATAATATAAAATAGGGTGGTCATCCCAACTTTCCTATTGACTTTTTTTGTCTCTTTTAAGGGGGGATTGCAGGAACACTACAAGTCTGTGATTGGATTATAACAGAAGCAGAGAATCAAGATGGAAAACGATTCATGAAGCTTCCACTTTCTGTGTTTTCTGTTTGGCTCCAAAAATGGGCCACATAGAATATGGAAATTAGCAGGTTTTATACCATGTTTTCCATTGGTTGACCAGGAGGCTAGTCATTTCCATTGTCTGCCTAATGGTCCACTTCTGTCCAACAATCCAAAGGTCATTACCCTAGTTGTCTGCGGTCTTGGAAGGGGTAGAAGGGCCTAACCTCCTGCACTTTTTTTGCATGAAGTGGATGCTTTCAGATTTGAACCCTTGTTATAATGCTCTAAAGTCCAAACATGGCCTAAGGCCATTACCCTGGCTATCTGGGTCTTGGGAGGGTGGAAGGACCTAACCTCCTGCACTCTTTTAACATGAAGTGCCTGCTTTCAGATTTGAACTCTTGTTCTCATGCTATAAAGTCCGCCTAAATCAACCCCCCCCCCCCTTTGGGTTTATAGATCAACAGTTGCTGTAAAAGAAAATAAACAAATATCTTAATCCATGTATAAATGATCTCAGACTAAATATAAGTTCTAGTTTAGACTTTACACAATTACTAAGATGCACATTTTTTATCAACAATTATGGTAACATTCAAGAAAAGGTATATATTTACATGATAGAATGCAACTTATAAGCTCTTTTTTTTTTTTTTAAAGTTATCATGTGATTTTTGTTCAGGAAGGTGATACTATTTCCATTTCAGTCTATCTACTCAGTATTCCCAACTTTATGTTTCTTTGTATTTTATTTGCCTTCTATTAACTGAATGCAGCGGACTGTTGATGGGAAAAACTATTATACCTTTGAGTACGAACTTACTTCTCCAAATTTTTCTCGTACTGCCTTTGCAACCATAGCTATTGGCAATGGTACGATTCCACCTCAATATTATTCTTTTTATGGCATAAAGTGTAAACTTTGTCCGTATTCAGCTCCACATCATGAGTTCATGGATAATTGCATTAACCATCTTACTCAACATAATTGACAATCAGAACTAATATGTGGTAGTGACAAATACCTATACATTTCTAAGTACAGATTGAGGTCAAATGCAAAATCAGAAACGAAACCTCTATCCTCATTTATAGAGGACAGCAGTGCCATGTTAGGAGAATAGATTTGCCATTTCATAAGTTTCATCATTTAAGGATTCTTACAACTTGTTTTACTATCTTTTCCATTAATAGTTACCTTACCCTTTTCTAATTAAGGCCAAGTAAATCTCACATGGACACTTGCATAGATGTTGGACAGATATGATAGAAGATATATTAAATTAATTTAGACTTGGTGACATGTGATATCTTTTGCTTTTTAGTTGATTTATATGAAAATTTATGTTAATGGTATATAAATGATGATCAAAACAAAAGAGAAGCTGTAGCTAAGATCTGTATCAAATAGAAGTTCTCCCCAGGCATCTGATGTGCGAAATACCCATCTGCTATTAGAGACCATCAGATCCATCTATGATTTTAAACATGAAAGATGCAGAGATAACATCGATTGGGGAATATGTCTATCAGATTATACAGATAGGAAATTGAACTCTATTAGTAAGATTTTCAATTTTCACACTATTGGGTGTATAGCTGCTTGCAGCACTCTTGGAAAAACTTGATTAAGCTGAAAAGCAGGCAGAGCCAGTCTTCTTTTACATGTGTCATCATCTTCATGAGGTCTTTGGTGGTCCTTAGGCTGACATTGTTGAATTCTCCTAGGGACTCTCAAATAAATCCCACAGAATGTTGACTCCTAAAGATCAGGACCCTAAGGAATGCTTAAATTATTTTCCTATACTATGTTAGTTGATCAATAATTTGCTTACTGCATTAAGCAGGGAGATACTACACACTAATTGTTGGAGCAAATGAAAGGCGATGGAGAAGAGTGCGTGAGAAACTTAAAGTAGTTGCTGACTCTTTTAGGGTTCTTGACATTTGAAGTTGTACTTTGCTTGAGTCGATTCGCATTTTCTGTTCTTTGTTCAAGCCAGTTGTTAGTCGTTGTAATTACTTTTTGTGATTATGAGAGATCATAGAAAACTAGTATATGCGTTAATAATAATTTTTGTTGCTGGTTTGTTATTTTTTACCAGTTCATATTGTATCAGATATGGATTCATGATTACAAAAGGAAAAGAAAAATCCAATAAAAATTGTTGAATTACTTGGAGAATTATCCACTTGACCCAGCTCTCAATAAGCAATCTAAGCAGCAGATCAGTTCTCTATATAATTCAATTGTGCTCTGTTTTGCTTGAAGCTATTGGCAAATCGGTTTTTGATTATACAGTGGAAATTGATGATTCTAATTAAAGCCAAAAAGAAAATTATCGATTTGATGTACTAAAGAGAAGGGACTTTCTACTACCCAACAAGAAATCACTGCCTGTTCCTGAAAATGGAGGTGCAATGAGTAGCCCCGTTTAACAAGGGTCTTATATGAGGGGGAACTTTTTACCAATTGTATGGAGTTAGTTGGGACATTTGACAATTGACAACACAATGCAGAAATGGGTGTTTATTGATAGATCCAAACCTGGCATCACAAAAGTTCTTTTTTGGTAAATACATTAGAATTGTTTCTTGCTCTCATGTAGAGGGGGTATTCTCCAATATGAATTGTTTTTTCTTGTTGCAACCCGACACAATCCAATTTCTCATATTTGCACTCTCTTCTTCTTAGTCTCTCGGTTTTGTTTCTAGGGTTGAGTTGAGTTGAACTAAGGCCAAGTTTGGGAGTGCTTATTTGAAAAATAAGTTTTTATTGAATAAGTGCTTATTCTAATAAGCGCTTATGAACGTTTGGTGAAAAAACACTTATTTTAAATAGGGCTAGTATAGGTATTTTTAAAAAGACATGGCGGGCCAAGATAGGCCAGAAAGGAAATAAGCACTATTGAATAAGTACTTCAAAATAAGCCCAAAATTTGGGCTTCTTAGAATAAGTACTTATTTCATGTTTATTTCCCAAATACAAATAAGTGCTTATTGGTGTAGTCCCAACCCAAAATAATTGCTTATTCAAATCGGCACTTATTTTTAAGCACTTCCAAACTTAGATTTAATTGTGATTGTGAGGCCTCCTGAGTGTTGTCCATGGCTCGGGTAGACCCAAGAGAACTGAACAGATCCAACCAAATTTTATAGGTTCAGGGTGTGCATCACTCATCCTGATTATGGTTGTGTTTGGTACCATACAAAGTATTGTTTTTACCTAAAATGTCAAATTTAATTGACTCTTATGTTATGTGACAACTCATATTTCTCACCTTATTCTACTATCAAACCCCAAACATTTCATGAAGAAATGGCAATGGTACCAAACACCACCTATAATTGGGTTGGGATCAATTTTGGCAATGTGCAGAGAACCGGACCAAGCATTGACTCAAGAAAAGTGCCTCTCCCTATTTAATATATATATATACATACGTTGCACATGGCAATCTCAAATACCAATGATAATCACAATATTTTTTTAGAACCCATATGTTGGTGGATTTAAATTTTGCATTTCACTTTCATTGTCAATAACGATGCTTTTTATTTATCATATTTATTTTTACTTAATATGATAGATATATAATATTAAATATGTGCATATTTTTAATGTTTTTAATGTTTTTATTTCTATCTATTTTTGAGCTTTTATTATATAACTATGGTTTCATGTATTGACCTATTTGACTTGTAAAAAGTGATCTCATTTTTGGGAAACTTTAAATTTTCTATTCAATTTCCATAATTAATTCAAAAAATAATTATTGTTTATCACACTTCTCTTTGTTTTATATGATAAATTGATTATATCTTACATGTCAAAAGTTCTATAAATTTTTATATATTTTTTTAATTTTTATTATTTGATTGCAATATCATTAGTTGACCAATTTAGCCAAACAATTAGACTGTTATGGAGCATTTCAAGTAGATTGGATCAGGTTTGAGCTCAAACCAAGCCCAACCCTATGCATTGGGCATAAGGCTAAAGACCAAAGTCATTCTTGATATATCTAACCTAGGTCCAACCCGTACTAAAACTTGATGCACTTGGGTTTATCAATTGACTCCATAACAAAATTTGACATAAATGCATTTGTATAATTGTATATTCATGCATACACATAAATTTGTCTCTATATATGTATGTATGTATATAATTAAGCCTAATTTGGGCTACCTAAGGGTTTTGCTTTGGCCCAGTCTAAACAATAGAAAAGCCCAAACTTTTGAGCCTAAGCCTAGGCCCATCTCAAAAACCAAAAATCCAAGCCTACATCCTATCTAAAATTGCAAGTTGGATTGGTTTGCACTCGACTTAAGCCCACTCAATTTGCATCCTTATGGATCATTGACCACCAATTAGATGCAAAAACAGTTTTCTATTCAAGTTAATTTACATTTTTAGTCTCTTTCTATCATTAATAAAAATAACTCTTATTTATCACACTTATTTTTGTTTAACATAATGAATGCATAATATTAGAGATGCACCCAAATGTTTTCTACAAAATTTCTATACTTTTAATAAGTTTTTTATGTTAAAAGGTTAAAAGGTTAAACCATTGACCCATCACTTGAATAGGAAAATAGTTTCATTTTTATGTCAGTTTTAAATCTTGTGTTCATTTCTATCATTAATAAAAATACATCTTGTTTATCATACTTATTGTTGTTTGATATAATAAATAAATAATATTATAAATGTGCTTAAATTTTTCATAAAATTTTGTAATTTTTGTAATATGTATATTTTTATTTATTTTTTATTTTTATTTAACTATGTGACCATTCATTGACCCATTTGACGTGGATTGATCATGGATGAATGACTTACCCTTTACCTAGATGAAAGGGTGGTTTATTTTTAATGTTGGTCTTGGACACAGGTTTTATATTATTAAAAATATTGGATATAAATTTAATTAGTAGAATTTATTGGTGAATACTTCAAATAAAGTATCTACAGAGAAAGAACGAAAGTTGACACCTTAATGATAAGGAATTGAATGAAGTGGAAAGTAATAGTAATTTAAATTACAATTTCTTCTCACACAACTATAGAGGACCAAATTCATAAGTAGGGGTGTTTTATTCAAGAAAGTCCACAAAGCTCATTTATTTAGTGTACCTTAAATATAGGATTTAAAGAGAGGGAATATGAGTTAATATCTTAAACATAGGTATTAATGACAGGGATTAGAATGAATTTAATAAGAGTATTTCAAATTACATTTTTTTCCTTATAATAAAGAACGAACAAATTCAAAAATAGAGGTTATTTAGACAAAAATACTAACTACATTAATGAGAGAGCATTGCATGAAGTGAAAAATAATAATTTAAATTAAACTTTCTGTTGTCATGGTTAGAGAAGAACCAAATTCAAAAGTAGGGGCATTTTAGAAAAGAAAAAGTCTATAAAGCACATTAATTTAATATACATTAATATAGGATTTAATGAGTTTAATATAAGTAGTAGTTTAAATAACATTAAGAGGGACCAAATTCAACATAGGATATTTCAGTCAAGAAAAATTCCAAAGTCTAGACCTCATTCGCACTTTTACTATATAGATAGATAGATAGATAGATATACATATAGATACGTATATATAATAATATTAATTATGTATATGTATATGTATATATGTGTGTGTGTATATATATATATATATGTATGTATATATATGCACAATTATATATAATAATATTAATTATATGCATATATTTAAAATATATAATTATAATCATCTATAACATAGTTTTTATTTTAGTTTCAATTTTTACATTAAAATTTAGGATTTGAGACAAAAAAAATGCATTTTTTAGCAAAAATAGTGGGCCAAGGTGCCTTTGGCTTTTGGGAACAGATAGATCTCGTAAAGTTAACCAAAATCCAAAAAGGATCATCTCAATCAAATATCCAAGCACAAAGTTATAGCCTTTAGAAGTTTGCATTTTATGTGCTAAAAATATTTAAAAAAAAACAGCTGATTTTCTAAAATCAGGACTGGGTTAGCAGTTTTGGCCGGTTTTTTACCCAATGTGGTTTTGAGGTATGATCGAACCAGTCAGGGGCTAGGGTCACAGTTCAACCAATCCAATCAGCTAATCCAGTCTGATTTTCTAAACACTGACTTTTGGTTTTATTGAATTGATACATGAATGTATGAATGTAAGTATGTACGTATGTAAATACTTCATAAAAGTAACTCCACTCCAGATATCCTCTCAACAAAAAAAAAAAAAAAATCCAACATGATATGTGCCTGCACATCTCATACATGGTGGGTCCTAGTCTTATGGTGAGATGTCACAGATCATATTGGAAGTGTTGGAGACAATTTATGTTGGGAGGAGATCCCAACTCCCTCCAATCCAATGTTTGTCTTTCTTTTATAATAATGGGCTACACATAGGCTGCAACTCAAGTGGGTTGAGTAGGTTAACGGCCAACCAAGGTCCAACCCCAAAGGCCAAATGTGCAAACCTTGGGCTTGGGCTCTAACTTGGCCTGGTTGGGATTATGTGGGTTGATCATGTTTTTAAGAACTTATGTATATATTTTTATTAGGCATTATGGTTTAATTTAAGAGTAAGAGTTTGATTATGATGTCAAAAAGACATCATGGCGGAAAAAGAAAACTATAGCCAATCAATCGACATCATAAAAGTGGTAGACAATCAAGTGGGCTTTTTATCAAAACTCATGGGGGTTTTGATGGGCTAAAGCCCTTTTGGTATCATGTTTTTTTGGCATCATACTTTTTCCTAAGAGTAGTATTGATTGAAAATATGTATAAATTTTGTTTGAAAATGCATATATCATATTTATAGATTCGCATACTTTCAATTAGGAAAATTTTATCTAAATATAATGCATATATTATGTATTTGTTTGAGTGAACTCAAGTTGGGTTGGGTCGGACTAGGGATGGAAATTTCCCAATAAAACTAGGGCATCACCCTAAATTGGGTGGCTTTTCCATGATCTTAAATAGGGACGGAGCAAGGACAAGGGAAATATTTTTGCCTCAAACTGGGGTAGGGTGGGGATGAGGTTCGGATATATTCATTGAACCCATCCCAAACCCAGTGGTAAAT